TCATTGCATTGGGTGCCCGCCTCTATCATAGCTCTTACTGCCCTTTATTAGAGGATAATATAGTCTATGTCCTCCGCTAGATTGAGCTTCTCAAAGGCTGAGACCTATCTTATTTGTCTTTATCGCCAAGGTCTAGCATGGTGACTGGTACTGCACAGATATGTAATGTCTGTGAAATAAATTGGCTGTGTAAATACAGAGCAGAGAGCATAAAATGAATTGGAAGGCTTCTAACGGGAAGACAAAGGACTTGCGGGATTGATGAAAAGGAACAGCTTAAGAAGAGAAGCTTTCTAGAGAGAAAATACTGAGTACATTTCTGAACAGCTTGAAATGATGGAAAAATAAACAAGTGACGATTTCCAGTAGGGATGTGGAACAAGAAAACCGTCGCAAAGTTTCTTTTAAGGACCAAAACATAGTCTTGCAAGTCTTTGTGACAGAGTACTAACTGAAACTATCAGTGAATTGACTCACCAACTAAAACAATGCAGAGAGACAGAAGAGAGCAAGAGGGAGAAGTGAAGGGACAGCATCCTGGCACACACCTGTAGTTAAGGGAGTTGGGGAAGACAAGGACACAGCACAGAGATCTGGAAGAAATTCAGAAGATCACTGTAGCAACACTGAAGTCAAGGAAATAGTTCTCCAGTTAGTGTCCGTGAGTAGGTGTCCGTGATAACTGCTTTGTAACGGTACAGATTATAAATAAAAGTCCGTGGGCAGCAACAGAAAAACAACACATAGGTTTTCAGTGCGGCTGGGTCTGTCTGGACCTGCCCACCAGTGGTTTGGGGATCTACTTCGTTCAGACTAGAGAACGCCCACACAAAATTTCCTCTGGATGGCAACCCAGCACAACATGTCTTCCACCTCTTCACACTGACTTCGCTTCGCCTCCTCTCTTCTCCAAACATAGGCTGGGTGATTACACCCTCTTTGTGTCAAAACAGCACACTTGCAATCATTTTATGGCACCCACATTCTTCTATTTTAATCTTTAAGATTTTATAAGGTGAAATGGTCTTTGCAATTGTTATCCTGTGTTAATCTTCTTTTTCTTAACAACACCTCAAAATTCCTTTCTTCTAGTTTGTTTTTGCTATGTTGGTTAAACCAGCATTTCCCAACTGGTGAACTACAGACTTCTTCAGGGGTAAGGTGGGGAATGTTATTGCATTGACTGAATCTCTTTGGTAATAGTTTTCTTGTCTATCCCTTAGGCTTACCACAGACCAGTAGGAATTGCTTAGGTACACAGTGCCATTTAGCAATAGAGATCACTCACTTTTGACCTTAAAGAGCACTTGAGACACCAAATTCATAAAAAATTTAGTAATCACACTACAAATGGTCTGTGTGACCACTATTTTTACCTTTCTGTAAATCAAATGTATTAAACATGACCTTCCTCAATTATTCATTTTATTTGTTTAGAAACTGAAATACAATCATTCCTACAGAAAAGAGAATAAAACTGTACATATGTACAGTTTAAAGAATAATTATAAAGCGAAAACTCAGGTCCATAAATAGTATATTTTCCATCTCCACATCCCAGGATCCCCCCCATACGCCCCTCCCTGATCCTATCTCCTTTCTCACCCTAGAGAGAAACATTTGTGACAATCATTTCTTTGCTCTTCTTTATAGTTTTACTACTTATGACTGTATTTTAAACAATATAGTAGAGTTGTGCCTGTTTCTTAACTTTACGTAACTGGAAACATTCTGTATTCTTTGGTTGTCTCAGTATGGCAATTCACCATGTTATTGTAAATAATCATGTTTCTCTTTGTTGCTGTAATATATTTCACAGTATGACTATAACATAATTTATCCATTCTATTGTTGATCCAAGTTTACGTTGTATAATGGTTTCAGCTATTACAAAAATGCACATGTACAGGAAATTCTGTAGAATTGCTGAGTCACAGTGAACGTGTGTCTTTAATCTTACTAGATAATACCACATTTCCCTAAGTGATTGTTATCAATTTATGCTACCACAGTGTATGCAGATATTCCTTGCTTCTTCCTTAAAACTTGTTTCTGTCAGACTTTTAAATTGTTTTTTCATCTGGTAGGTGTCTAATAGTATTGCATTATGATTTTCATGTTCATTTCTATAGTTACTAATGAGAATGTTGGTCCTTTCATATATTAGTCATTTATATTTGGTGCTGTGCCTATTTAAGCTTTTTGCTTATTTTCAAAATGGGCAAGTCTATTTCTTATTGATTTGTGTTATTTGCATATTTTGAGTGCTAATTATTTTTCATTCGCTTCATGGGATTGTTTAGTAAACAAAAGTCCATTACTTTTATGTAGCCCAATATTTTTCTTTATGTAATACATCATTTTATAATTACTGAACTTTATAGCTAAAAATAATTCCTCTTAATCTAAGTCATAAAGAAATTTTCTCATATAGGTCCACATAACTTATCTGAAATCCCTGGAGCCAGATGTTTTAAAAATTAGAAGGGTAGTATGAAACATACAACATATATTGTATAATATTCCTGACAAGAACTGGCACAGTACCTATAATGAAATACATTAATATTTCTACAGAAAAAAACATACGCAGTTACGTGATAACGTTAGTAACAACTATAAAGAGACTCATGTTACTTTAAGTCATATTTTTCACCAAATGGGTTCCAAAGTGCTTGGCCTTTCAGAGGTTTGGGGATTTTATAATTAGTACAAAATTTATGTTAGCCTTATTCAGTAAGAATGGAATTATTTCAAAGTTTGTAGGAACTTACTGGTGGAGCCATGTACCTGGGATTTGTGTGTATGAAGATTCTTCACTGCTCATTCAAAGCATTTAATGGTTTCTCTATGTTTGAGCTGGTTACTTGTTTTTCTTGAAATTTGTACACTCATTTAAATTTTACTTACATTAACTTTTTTATAAGATTATCTAACTTTTTTGATGTCTATAGTATTTCTAGTTTCCATTTTTGATAAAGATTGTTGACATCCCTCCTTTTATTGCTATTAGATGTTTGCCAATTTTAATTAGTTTTTTTCCAAAAAAATCAACTTTTGTTTCTTTCAACCTATTCTATGCTGTGGCATGCCAGTGAATTGGCTCCAATATAAAATACAATCCTGGCTTGTTTGTTGATTTCCATAGTGTAAACAGTCCCATCATGGGTGACTTCAAGCTACTTATTTGATGTTACTGATCACGGAGTTGGCAAGAGGTATGCACAATTGGCTCTCCCACACCAGTACAGGCTGGCTGTGGTACACCACTGCTTTTATTTTCCATTTCATTCATTTTTGCTGCTAACGTTATTTCTGTCCTATTTTCTTTAGTCTTATTTTGCTCTCCTTTTTGTAACTTCTTGGAAAGGGATGTTTAGCTCAAGACTTTTCAGACTCTTTTAATATATTTACTTATGACTGTAAATGTCCCTCTAAGTGCTGCTTTAGCTTCATCCCACAGGTGTTGCTATTGTATTTTATGCGTCAATTCAAAATATTTTCTCATTACCACTGACTGTCTCTGTGTTATTTGGACTTGTTTTTACAGTTCTTGATTGATTTCTATCTTAAATGCACCGTGGTAAAAAATGTGAATTACTTTAATTTTCAAAACTTGTTGAGTTGCTTTATAGCTAAATATGTGGTTGATTGTGGTGATGTGTCTGCCTTCAAAAAAACTGTACATTCAGATTTTGGTCATGTTGTTCTGTATGTATTAATTACATCGTTTGTACATCATGTTATTCACATTTTCTATAACCTTAATTTTTCTCTTGCTAGTCTTAACAATTATTCTGAGAAAGGCCTATAAAAGTCACTCAATATGACCATGCATTTTTTCCTTTGTAATTCTGTCGTTTCACTTTGTATCATACATAGTTTTCATTAAGTATATATAAATTTAAAACACATTTCTTTTTTAGACTCAGAAGTCAAGACTCTTTTCCTTTTATTCCTTTTATATCCCATCAGTCATATTTAAAAGATAGCTCTATGAAAACTGACATGAAAAGACATAATTAAAAGAAATGGGTGGATCTGGTAAAGCTAAAGTAAATCTACTATGAGAGTCCATTAACTACGAGGGAAATATTTTCTATATTGCAGAACACATATTTGGTGGGACTTAGCTTCACATAGCCACCCTGAAAAGGCTGCATATGTTGAATTTGGAATGGATCAAACTGCACTGAGTGTGAAATGGTAAATTGCTTATCATATATCTAGATGATGGAGCAGATGGAATCTATTGAGAATGAGGTGCCAGATGACTGACCACAAACATGCTTTTTAATAAAGATCCTGCTGAGATATGAACTCATATATATTTTTTAACAATTTTTTCTTGTTCATTTTGTTTCTATTAACTCACACATTTCACCCGTTGTTATATTAAAAATAACAACGTCTGAAAACATTTGAAGCAGCCCTTTGTATCCCCTTTTAAAATATCTCGCTGTTTTGGGGGGGGGGCGGAAAAAGCCGCAAAGGAGATTAAAACAATACAAATATTTATTTTCCTAACTCCCCTGACCAATTTGCACTTCCCTGGCTGTACTTCACTGGGTTCTCAGCCTGGACAACTCACTTGCCATGGGGGCTCTGAGACGTCACTGCCTCTTTCTGGGGCCCGTTTCCTCCTTTTATTTTAATCCAAGCGATGGTGGCATGCGCCTGTAGTCCCTGCTACTTGGGAGGCTGAGGTGGGAGGATCGTTTGGGCCCTGGAGTTTGAAGCTGCAGTAAGGCATGTTCTCACCACTGCTCTCAAACTTGAGCGGCAGAGCGAGACCCTCAAAAACAAAACAAAACGAGAAGGCATCGCGGCTCTGTAACATTCCGTCCAGCTCTCGCACCCACAGCGCAAACTTCTACACAAAACTCTCGGCTCGCCTTGTCTCGCGGGGCTTCCGGGCGACGCTGTGCCGTAAATATGCATATACCCTCCTTGCCCTTGAAGGCCGGAAGTCAGTTTTACAGGTAAAAGGGCAAAACAGGAAGTCCCGCCCCTCTGTGAAAACTCAGTGGTGGCCCGGAAGGATTAAAAAGGAACCAGTGATTTCGCCGTGTGAATTGCTTTTTGCGACTGGGAAGGTTTTTGCTTTTAGAGCTCGAGCCGGCGGGGCGACCTTGCAGTGCCAGGACTCGGCACCGCGCCGTCCTCCGCCGGTTGGTGGCCTGCGTGACCCTTTCCTCCCGTCGACGTCGAAAGGAAGCCGGACGTGAGCGGGCAGAGAGGTAGGCTCGCTGGTGGGTCCGGGTGGGGCGCGCGTGGAGTACGGGCCCGGGAGGTCCCTTACTGTCCCCAAGCGGCGGGTTCCTCTTGTGCAAAACGGGGTGGCACTGCAGTCGCCTGCTTGGTGACTGTGGCTTCCACACACCCGTTTCTACAGCGCTTAGGCTGAACTAGGCACTGCTGTCCCCGCTTTACCCGTGGGAAACGAGCTCGGAGAGAATAAACGAGCTGCCCTAAGCGACTGGAACTGAGCCACAGTTCCCACCCGGGCTCTGAGCCCACGCTGCGGCCGCAGCAGGGATCAAATCACAGTGTGAGATGAGCCTTTAGAGCGAGTGCTCTTATGCTGTAACTGAGAACTGATTGTTTTCAGTTGTATCATCAAAATCTCGAAGCATGCTTTTTTTAAATTTTTAAAGGAAGAGGAGATTGACAGTTTTCGTCTGTCCTTGCCTTCTCTTCAGATTACAAAGTTCATCGTTAATCTCAAATGTTATTTTGGCCAACAGCTTCATCCCATTAGGAATGGCAGCCCCATCTATGAAGGAAAGGCAGGTCTGTTGGGGAGCCCGGGATGAGTACTGGAAGTGTTTAGATGAGAACACAGACGATGCTTCTCAATGCAAGAAGTTAAGAAGCTCTTTCGAATCGAGTTGTCCCCAACAGTGGGTAAGTCATACTTTGATGTGTTTCTCTTCCTTGTTAAGATACATCGAGCTTATAGTGTGAGTGGTAGGCTGACGTGAAGCACTATCTGAGGCATGTCAATCAACAGTTTCTTTGAGGAGCAGAGAAAACCTTGTCGGGTCATCCAGCCTTGTTTGATGCACTTACATCAGGTAGACCTTTGGAGAATGTCAGCTGACACATTAAAGAGCATTGAAAAGCACAACAAACATATGAACAATAACCAAAAAATTTCAGCTCACTTCACTGCTAGACTTTTCCAGTATCTTCTGAAGGGTTAGTATTTAATCTTGGGGAGGAGTTGACAAACTTATTGGCCTAGAGCTACTATCAGAAATAAAGTAGTTCCCAGTTGCTCACCAAAAATCATATAGTCATATACCCAAAATATAAAGAAAGAAGTTTGGTAAGTAGAAGAAAGAAAAGGTTCATATTGTGGATTCTGTGTCCCTGACAGGCATTCAAGCGCTGTATTCCCCGTCCTTAGTGTAAGTGGGGATTGAAAGGGGACTGTTCTATTACTGAGGTTAGTGAGTGGCCCTGTGTGCTAAGCGCTTGACAGTTCATCTTCACCAATGCCCGTTAAGATAGGTGTTGTTTTCCTGAGCAACAGGGAGTGTTCTGGCCTCTGGAAGGAGGTGCTGAGCTGAACAGGGCCATCTGTTCATCACACACACCCTCTTCCTCCCCCTCATCACCCATCATCATGGGTCCCTTGGGCCTCTTGCCCACTGTGTGTGTGGGTACGTATGGTGTATGTATGTATCCGCATGTGTGCATGTATGTTTGCAAAATAATAAAGGATATTGGAGACCTGTTTTAGAAGGAGCCTAGGCTGAATTTCATTCCAAGAGAGCTTAGGATGACAGCATCCCTGAGCTGGGCAAAGGTACTCAGGACCGCATAGGAGTCTTAGGCAGTTACCTGAAACTGCCTTCATTCACTCATTTGTGTATTCATTCATGTATGTATTCATCAGACACATACCGAACACCCTCTATTTGTCAAGCTCTTTGCTTGGAATACAGAGTTGAATCAGACATGATCTCTACCCTCCTAGTAAGGAGATGCAGTGGGTTCATGAATGACCATCATTAACTGAATGTCTTATGTACTTTGAATTTGAGAAGAGGGTGATCCCCTCTAGGCTTCCTGGAGGTCACATTTAAGCTGCACCTTGACAAATTGGTAGGATTTGGTCAGGCACTAGTTGCAGAGCATGAGCTCTGGGGACAGACTGTTATGGGTTCTGGTCCCACTTTTTATCACTAGTTGTTTGACCTTGGGCAAGTCATTTGACCTTCTGTGCCTCAGTTTCCTCATCTGTAAAATGGAGCTAACAATATTACCTACCTCATAGGATTTAATGATGTCAAGCTCCTCAATGGAGGCCTTATCCAAACTTCATGGAGCCCACTTAGGTGCCGATCCCTCAGAAAATAAGCCTCATGCCTGGACCCCCGAGAGCTTCTGATCCAAGCTATTAGGGACAGAAGAAGCCTCCAAATCTGGAAGGTACTGAATGCCCTGCTGACTGGGAAAGTTTCAGGGCACTGATGGGGTCTACCTGGTAAGTGGAGGGCCTGAGGAGGCCTGTAGCTCCAATCATGTATGGTAACCAGGTACTTGAGCCCCAATCTGGGTTGTGAGGAAATAGGGGAGAGGTAGCCTGGGCCACATCCCAGCCTAACACATGTGAGGTTCACTTTAGGAACTAACCTCATTAACTGTAAGGATCATGCAGAGACAGCAAAGCCTGGTGTGATTAGCTCAGCCTTCACTCATTCACATATACCATCATACTTTTATTCCAATCTGTGTATTGCTTTTTTTGCTTCTTAAAAATTAAGTCTATTCTAATTACTCAAATAATGCATGAATGCATTCTCCTTTTGAGAAATTAGATTGTTATGGATAAAGATAGTCTCATTCAGCTACCAACCACTCCCCCTTCTGATCCTTCCCCTCTTAGTGGCTTTTATGTTTGTTGTACTTCCATTTAGACTTTGTTTTAATACTTGTACATACATATATGAACTCATTGGAAATGTGTGTTTAATGCAAATGGTATATTGTTTAGCAATTTGTTTTCTTTGCTTAACAATGTTTTTCAGATCTGTGCATGTTACTTGATGTAGATCAATCCATTCTCTGTAATTGCTTATAGATTGCCATCATATGACTACCACATTTTACTTAACACATTTCTCTTGTGATGGACATTAAGACTTTTCAGGTTTTGCTATTACAAAATACTACACAGGAGCATCCCTAGGCCTGTGTGAAAGTGTGTATGTGAAAGTTTACCTAGGGTTGATACCTAGAAGTGAATTGCAAAGTCATAGGATATTTATATGTTGGTTTTTAATAGATACTTCCAAACTGCCCTCCTGTACTATTTACTCAGTATTTTTCTTAAGGTAATCTGAGGTCTAACATTGTTATCCTATATCATTTTCATCCCAAGTAGTGATATCTGTGAAGTCACAGGTTTGATGTGTGCTAATTATGTATTTTTCTAATACATATTAAAAGACATAACTATCAAAAAAAAAAGATAGGTGTTGTTATTCTCTATCTCCAGAGGAGGCAGCTGAAGCTCAGAGCATTGAAGTAACTTGCTTGTTCTTATTCAGTGAGTGGCAGAATTGTAATTCGAAGGCTGGCCCAGCCGGCTGTTGTGGGATTTGAACTTGGATTTGTCTGTGCTTTTCCACTATCTTATGCTGCTCCAAAACATATCCATGTAGTAGGAGAACAGATAATTTTAGAGATGAAGTGGTTTTAGGGTTTTTACCCTCTTGCACCTCAAAGTTTTGAGAGGCTTTGAAAGAGACCACAAGAAAGGTGTGATGCAGGAGGAGGAGTTATACTGGTGGGCTGAGCTGGGGATGAATGCAGTTAACAGAAATTTTATTTTTCTTTCTTTATTTTTTAGAGACAGGGTCTCAATCTGTTGCCCTGGCTGGAGTGCAGTGGCGTGATCATAGCTCACTACAGCCTTGACCTCCTGGCCTCAAGTGATCCTCCACTTAAGCCTCCTGAGTAGCTGGCATTATAGGTGTCTGCCACCATGCCTGGCTAATTTTTAAAAAAAAATTTTTGTAAAGACAGGGTCTTACTATGTTGCTCAAGCTGGTCTCAAACTCCTGGGCTCAAGTCGTCTTCCCACCTTGACCTCCTAAAGCACTGGGATTAACAGGCATGAGCCACCGCATCTGGCCAGAAATTGCTTTAGATGAACTCTTCATCTGTAAAACCAGCATGATGCAACCTATCTCATGGGATTGTTATAAAGACAAAATGCATAACTTGACGTGTAAACTGAAAACTGGTAAATGTGCGACTTTATGATTGAAGTAGATAATGATTCAAGCAGAAAATGCTCTCCATCTGTAGTTTTCCCGTTAGACAGATGCATTGAGAGGAACTGCAGGTTTAAGGAGTTCCTCTTCGGTCCCACTTCTATCCTCTCTCTCCTCCTGAAACTCACTGCTTTTTCTCCAGCCTAATGGCTCCCACTCCCACCTTCCAGGGCAGCTTCCAGTCTGTGTGTCAGAAAGGGTTTTTACAGCCAGCCACTGGTTCTGTATCGTACATCTCTCCCACTCGAGCAGACTGGGCGCCGTGCCCTGAGGGCTTAACCTCTCTCCAGGTCACTGTGTCCAGGTCACCGCTAACATTAATTGAGTTACATCCTCTACACTCTACACGCTTGAAATGTGTCATCTATCGTATTTATCCCTCATGGAGCTCTCTTAGCGGTTTTATACACAAGGGCAGATTGACGTGAAGTCTCTTGTAGTCACAGAGCCTGGATTTGAACTCAGTAGTCTGATTCCAGACCTTACATACTTCTTCCTGTGCCTACCATGCAAGAAAAGGATCCATGAAAATAGCTTGCACAAATCTCATGTTCTAGAAACTTAGTCATAATTCAAATCTACTTAAATACAAAAGCCCTGTCTTCCTGGGTCCTTTTCCAGTTCTCTCACCCAGTTCCTTCTTTCATGTCTAGCAGCCGCTGCTCTTTGGAATGCCTTCCTGTGTGTCTGTTAAGTGCCCGTGTTCCTTAGAGCTCCCTTCTGTGCTACTCACCCATCCAAGGCAATCCTATTGACAGCCATGGCTTTAAGTCACAACTTATGTGTTGATGCCTATCTTAGCTCAGGCTGTCATAGGAAAATACCTTACAGAAATATATTTCTCACAGTTCTGGAGGCTGGAGGTCCAAGATCAGGATGCCAGCTTGGTCAGTTTCTGATGAGAGCCCTCCTCTTGGCTTGTAGACAGCCACCTTCTTGATGTCTTCTCACCCAGCAGAGAGAGAGGTCCAGTCTCTTCCTCTTGTCAGGACATTAAGGCTATCAGATTAGCAGGGCCCATGCTCATGACCTCATCTGAAGTTAATCACCTCCTAAAGGCCCCACTTTCAAATACCTTCACATTGGGGTTAAGGTTTCAACATTTGAATTTGGGAGACGCATGAGCCTTCAGCCCATACAATGCCCAAAGGTGCATCTCCAACCTGGCCCTTTCTCCACCTCCAGAACCAGCTTTCCAGCCACCTGTTAGCTTCCTAGGTGGAGATTCATGAGGACCAACCTTGACCTCTGCATAAACAAGAGTGAGCTCTTCCCCATCCTGCACCCAGTAGACCTCTCCTCCCATGCTTCCAGCCTCAGTGAAAGACATCAGCATCAACTTAGGACCAGCGACCTGGGTGTCAGCCTTGACTGAATTATTGGAGTGTTCTCGGGAGAGAGACTGGGTAAGTCAGGGCTGTGAGCTTAGCTGCTGTCCAGCTTCAGTCTGATCCTTCTGGAAGCTCTGGAGTATGAACTGCACCATAATTCATGACTTTTGTGCCTGCCAGTCATTGGCGCTGGCTGAGGGGCAGGTCTCTGGAGAAGTGGGCAGCCATCCGGTGTTAGCACAGTGGGGAGTGGGTACACGGTTCTGCAGAGGGAATCTGGACAGAG